AAAAAAAAAAAAAAAAAAATCTATCGTTATTCGAAAATTGTGACATGTTCATTAGAGAAACGACTCGACTGGATAGCTAGTAACAATAGCAAACTAATCCAATTCCTGGAGAAGCATAGACAGTACTGTTTCAAGTCATTAAATATGCGAAGAGTATCCTTCCACATTTCGATTCCAATCTTTGCCAGATTTGAAGAAGAAAAACAAGATAATTCGAGCCATAATTCAAAATTACCTAAAAATATGATGAGAAGTCAATTTCACTCGCGACACATCTGTCGGTGAAATATACACCAAGCCGAAATCAGTTAATTTAAGTTTCGCGCTAGACGTTGTCTCCCAACGTTCTACGTCTCAAAATGTCACGAATTAATTGAACGACGTACAGATGTATTCTTAACTTGAAGACTAGTTTTGATTTTACTTCGCGCTACGAAAAAAAAAAAATAATAATAATAATAATCATCGATTGATTATACTCTAAAATTCCACGGAATCAGAGAAATGTAAAAGAAAGAAAGAAAAAAAGAAAAAAAATCATCAAACCGATTGATGAAAACTAGGAAGGAAGCTAACTGGAAAACAGAGAAAAGTCCAGGCTGATCTCTCGTCGGGTGCGTGTACGATACGGACGACGAAACAATCGAACCGAGAAACCCTTAAACCAGGATAATCCAGCCTTTTCAATCTTTCACCCTTTCACGGTTTATCGACGGCTAAACCCGGGTTAAAAGCTTTCGTACACTTTGTTCCTTTTCACCGACGATGGGAGTGTTACCTGCGGTTTGCTGGGCACTCGGAAGGGGACTTCGTTTGGGGACTTCTTTTGTCCACTTACCATTTGACAGGCGCACGGCTGCAAACCGTGAAGCGGGCATCTTTGCTGATTCGCTGATTGAGGAGTCGGCTGCAAGGCGAATGAGGACGATCCCGTCGACAGGCTATTGCTCCTCTGATACTGAGTCTCGTAATAAGAAGGTGGCGGCCCGGTTTGTTGCTGGTGGCTAGGCGGTGACGTCTGATACATTTGGTACGATTCCAGTTTCATCGTTTCCGCGAGGCTACCGGCTACACCGGACCGTGTTCAGTGAAAAGAACGGTATGTTAATTGTGGCGTTCTGCCGAGACTGGGTTTTTATACAGCGGTGCTGGAACGTAAGCGCGTTTCTGTTCGACGGAGGCAGAGGCTACGAGTTTCGCTCGACTATTATTATCAATACGAGATATCAACACAACAATATTTATACGAAATATATTTTGTATAATTACATAGATGTAATTAGATGTCACGGGATTTGCCAGAAAATAATTGCGTTTTCTTTTTTTTCTAACGCGCGTATTTTTAAAAACGAGTTTAACAGCGGCGACGTTGATTGCAAATGAAGAAAGAAGAAAATAGCCGGAAATATATTGTATTCTGAGCTGTGTAATTACAATACTTTGTAGTGTGAATAACTTGTACTCGCGATACTTTGAACAATTTCAAACGTGGATTGACACTGCTCGAATAATTTGAAACGCGCACAATTTTTGAAGGCGCGTTAAATAGTAATAAATAGTTGTTGTTACAGTTTCTTCTTAAATCTCGTAACACATTTAGTTAAAGGAGTAAACCTCCATATTTAAAACGCAACTAACTTCATTTTAAACAAAGCAAATTCATCTGATACTTGATTGCTTAAGCTTGTTTCGTTCAGAAACGATACGTATTTTCGTCGCACATATTTTGCAGTACTATTTTCAAAAAAAGGGGAGGGGGACGTTGTGTAAGCTGATAAAAAATTATCTGATGTGTATGGTGAAGAAATCTTAAAACTGCGACAATTTTGGAATTAGTTTGCTAAATTTCACTGCTGATGAGGATATCAAACAGCTCTTGGAATTGTTTCTTGTCGAAAAAGATAAGGACTTTTTTGAACGCGGAATCGTGAAGTGCCCGAAAAATGGCAATATATTTTTGTTTCTCATGAAAAATTCGCCTTTCATTTGCACACGAAGAAACGCAGTTACTTTTTGGCCAATCTAATTATTATTATACTGCATATAGCATTAGATATAATTGCATATTATTTATTTTATATGATTAGATTAATATATCGAATATTATCGATTTCTGTCATCTTTAATTCCTTTCATTGGCATGATACGATAATAATAGTAATTACAATACTTTGTAGTGTGAATAACTTGTACTCGCGATACTTTGAACAATTTCAAACGTGGATTGACACTGCTCGAATAATTTGAAACGCGAACAATTTTTGAAGGCGCGTTAAAGCGTAATCGTGGCCGAGAGGCAAGCTTCGAGAGACACTCGTTGTTGCGATAAATTTATGAAGATTAATAATATTCATTAAGGAGCCTGACATTTATGACAAAAGTAAATTAAACTGTAAAATCTGTTGTCGCTGTCTGACATTTCCGAGGAATTTCGCATCGAACGCTAGAGTCGCCTGTTCCTGCATGCCTCGCGCGCGCGCAGAAAAAGAGAAACAAATTCTTTACGAGCCAACACTCTTCCCCAATTAAATCGACAACGTGTTATACAGCTCGTACATCTACGCCAGGCGAGCATATAATAAAATGGTAGTAAAATGCGAAGCGTTGCGGTGACGTTGATTACCCGGTAACCTTGAACAGTCGAAACTCGTAGCCTCTACCGTACGATCGTAAAAAAGCGCGGTATACTGGCGTTAACATAATCGAGATACGAACTTTGACTGACACTGTGACTATTTTGCAACTTTCGCAATTTTTCACAAAGAAGTGCCAAACTGTGTCCGAGCCTCGCGTACCAAAAACTTGCGAAATCTAAATCTAACGTTGGTAAATCGTGCTGCGCGTATATATTATATTAAAAATTAGCAGTGCAACAGAGAAAAATAAAAAGAAAAAATAATAATAATAATATACCAGAAATCGTGGTGCGTACTTAATTGTTAGGTAGGTAACCTTGAACAGTTGAAACTCGTAGCCTCTACCGTACGATCGTAAAAAAGCGCGGTATACTGGCGTTAACATAATCGAGATACGAACTTTGACTGACACTGTGACTATTTTGCAACTTTCGCAATTTTTCACAAAGAAGTGCCAAACTGTGTCCGAGCCTCGCGTACCAAAAACTTGCGAAATCTATATCTAACGTTGGTAAATCGTGCTGCGCGTATATATTATATTAAAAATTAGCGGTGCAACAAAGAAAAATAAAAAGAAAAAAAAATAATAATAATATACCAGAAATCATGGTGCGTACCTAGTTGTTCTGGGCTATAGGAGGGTGTGTATGTTGGTGTCCATTCCGGTTTCCCAGGGATCGCCGGGATTGGACTTAATCGACCACAGGATGAGGCATTGCTCGAAGCTCGAGGACTCGAATAAAAAATAGTTCAAATGTATTTTCAATGATTCAGATCTGTCTATCTACAAGAGTTAACGCGCAAGGTTGTACGAACGTTAGGTCGTGCAATAAAAAAACTCATTTTTCATATGAATTTCGGAGTGGAGGAAATAGGACGAGCGACGTGTGTATATATTTTTTATAATTACAATATTTTTTCATCTTCCACTGTGTTTCGTTTTGCTTCTTCTTATTGTTGCTATTGTATTCATTAGAATGCAACTTGTTTTTTAAAAGAACTTATTACACGAACGATACGTTCGTACTCTGCGAGAGACTATTCGTAAACTCGAGCGAGAGTTATGTGCGTTATGCGAACGATTACAATACAAAAGCATAAAGTAAAAAGGTTGAAATTGATGTCTTTTTGATTATACGTCAGACGAAAGGAGATACAAGTATTATTATATTCGTAAACAGTAACCACTCGTAAATCGTAATGCGCGATACTTTTCAAAAGTGGGAACAAAAATGAAGTTGTTTTTTGCCGGTGTTGAATTTAAATGCAAATACCTAAAATGATAAGAGTAATTATGAGAGGTGAAATTGCATCAACCTCGCAACTGAATCAATTTTGATGAACGCTTCAATAAAAATAATGATATAAACGTATTACAAAGAATCGTATCGCGCGTTTAAGTTCAATTTTCAATCGGATTGAATTAATTGGAAACAACTAACCGGATCGCTAAACGATAACTTCGGGAATGATTGTTCTTCAAACGAGAAATAACTGGAAATATATTTTCCATTCAATGAAATGTAAATATCGAGTTGAAAAATTAGGACAAGAACGATACGGATCATTCCGCGGGCAAAATGTTAAATACTCGATACTCCTTTGCTAGGATATCAGAAACGACACGTTAAACTCCAATAAGAAATCCCATTTCCCAACGTCACCGATGAAATTCTCATTCTACGAAATTGTATCTTGAAAATAATAATAATTCGAAAGCGACAAGACACCGGCTAGAAAAGCGTAAGTTTGAAATACGTAAGTTCCGAAGATATTGATATCCTTTTGTTTCTCGATCGAGACTTACGTATTGTCATCATCGCCATTGGAGAGCGAGGTTCAACGACCAATTGGCTAAGAAAAATATCTACAATATCTGTGCTGTTTACTTTTCATTCATTCCACATGATAAAACGTGTAATTACTTCTCCGCTGAATGAAAAATACCGAGCCACTTTTACGAAACGCGTAAACAGTAATTGCTTCATATTTCAAAGGCCCGGGGTGGAAATAAAATCGCTAAGTATATTAAGTAATTGTACACACATCGTATCGTATTAATTCTATCGTTACAGCGTAAATAAAAGCACGTCCCTATCGAAGAGAGACGAAACTATACCGGGTCAAAGCTGAAAAAGATGAAAGTACCTGTTTCTTTAGCCGACTGAGCATTCTCAGATAATTCATAATTGCAGGACTCGGTTCAAGATTAAACTCCAGTCAATCGAGAATGTCCGTTAATAAATAACAGTTGAGAATGAAAAAAAAAAAAAAAGAATAAACGAACGTGAAACTGATATCTCGTTTAAATTCGTTATAACCAGCATCGATCGTCCTTCGCCCGATCAAATAATCAGTACACATAAGTAAGTAATTCCTAGCCAAATGGTACGAAATAAAATACGAAGATGGAAGGGGACAGGTTTGGTTCAAAGACCAAATGTATAATATAAAAAATTGTGAGTATAAATAATCGGAACGGATAACGAGGCGGCACATACTGACACGTACCGAAAATCAGGCGAAAGTTGAAACCCACTGCCAGGTTGAAGAGGACTGTCCGGGAAAAGATCGAGCCCCTCGTTCACGCTGTTACTAGGGCTGGGCGTCGCGTCAGCTTGTAACCCTCCGTTCCTTAGCGCCTCGATCTTCTTCCTCACCCTGCCACGTCGTTTCTCAAATTTGCTTGTCTCCATGGTTATTGCCCTGCGAACCATCGACGAACGTTGTGCCAGTGTGCGTGTGCGTGTATATGCATGTGTATGGTACACGGACGTGACAACGACAAATTATTCGCAAAACGAGCACAAGCACTTACCTTCTGCGCGACTTGCCTGGTTTCGCGTCGCGATTGATCATCCACCAGGAACTTTTCCCAGTGCCCTCGTTCTGCACCCGCATGAATCTGCTG